CGCTGGTATTATGAAGTATTTCGGAGATGGGTACAGACTCGGGAATGCTGCCAATCTCTTTGAAAAACTGCTCATTCGCTCACCCGAAGTAGCCTCACTCTTGGCGAAGAGCTACATGGGAATGAGTGAGTTGAAATGATTCTAAAATTATCATTTACTCAACCTCTACCAGATGAAGAGGTCAAAGCGATTCAAATCTTATCACAGGCGATAAGGGACGCTCCACAATCCTTCAACCTTCTCCACGTTCAATGTGACTTTTTACGGAAGAAAGGAAAGAATGACTGGGCGCTCCAACTCGCTCAACAGGCTGTTAACTGTGCTCCTAGCGAGTTTGTGACATGGGCAAAGTTGACAGAAGTTTATATCGAACTTGGCCAATACGAGTCCGCTCTATTGACCCTCAACTCGTGCCCCATGTTTACATACAATGACCGGGATTTACATCGTATGCCTACCCCAAGCCGCACTCATCTCCCAGTAAAACAATATATTGCCGATTCTCAAATCTTAGACGGCGATGGTCTAGAGGAAGACACAGACCCAGCATTGCTACGTCTACCGGCACCAGCTCTGCGAGGAACCTTTGCAAAAGCGTATGAACTCCTCTGCAGGCTAGTCTCTGAAATTGGATGGGACGAGCTTCTCAAGACTCGGAGCGCAGTGTTCGTCATGGAAGAAGAATATCGCAACCAAAAAGCGAAAGCGGCAGCAGATGCAGCAGAGGCTGCTGAACGCGAGCAGCAGGTCAATGGGACAACCGAAAACGGAGGTCCTCGTGATTCGCTGTTGACCGCCGTCGAGGGCGAAGCGGATGCAGAAGGGGAGGATGATAATGCCAGCACGAAGGGGATGGTCTCTCCGACCAAATCAAATGCTGCGGACGGGGAAGAAACGGCACGTACATCGACGGATGATACCAACACGCTAGAATCGGAGCCAACCAAGAACGATGAACATGAACCTCCTCCGTCGGCTCAGGCAGAAGGTCCCAAAAAGAGTAAATTTGCCAGTGGTGGTGGCATTAGCAAACCCACAAGGGCAGCATCGGAGGTAGACGAGGCAGAAGAGGAAGAACGAAAAAGAGAGGCAAACGGAGAAGCGATGACACTGAACAGTAAAAGATTGTGCGAACGCTGGCTGGACAACATGTTTATGTGTCTATACGAAGTAAGTGTTCCTTGTCAAGTGCCCTGAGCCTTGTGATTTACCTGTGCACTAGGATCTTCGCGTATGGACCATCTTCAGAGCTGAAGTCGCTCATTTCAAAAACCACCGCCAAGCGTATCGCAAGACTGGTTCAGAATGGGAGATTTTGGGCGACTTGGGAACACGGCTGCTCCATAGGGAAGAGGCAAAGGAAGCCTACCAGCGCTGCCTGGACATCAAGTTCTCTGCCAAGGCTTGGATGAAACTGTTAGAAATTTATGCCGACGAAGGAGATTTACAAAGGACCCTCAATTCGGCTATTCGACTAACCGCATATCAACACCGATGGTACTTTGAAATGGCGGTATGCATTCCTAGGTATGATGGAGATAATGATGCTGATGTCTCTCTAGTTCCCCACGGCCGTTGCGCACCAAATTTACAAGCTAGGGCTAACACACGGTCACGCCAAGATATCGTTCACACTCTTGAGCATGGGCTTACCGGACGGTATCCGCAAAATCGTGGAAAATTATCTATCATATGGCAAAACGTTCCGTATAGAAGTAAGCATCTGTCCGTTTCAAAAGGTCTCGTCGGCTGATCGTGTATTTCTTCTTTCAATAGGGATATGATTTCTAGTCTTTTCTCCTTCTGTTCCCCGGTCGTCACGACGTGCTCTC